CAATTTCACTGGTGTCAAAGGTCACATGACATCACTTCCTGATATGATACCACTTCCTGTGATGTCTTTGAATATGGCTCGCCGGCCCACTGGGTGATAAGAAGTTTGTGATCCAGCCCCACATTCAAAAAGGTTGGACACCCCTGATATAGTATTTAAAAATCTGCTCGAAATACCTAAATATATTATTTCCTCAAGAGACAACTGGCTGAAATGACCCAAGTCCATGGGTAAGCAGGATGCAATTTTAGAGCTTTCCATACACCAAAAGCTATGATTCAATAAAATTTCAGTTGGTCGAGCACTGGCTCCAAGTAAATAGAATTGGCATCTATCAGTAAGTTGTATGAAATTTGGAACAACACTACTGCAGAGTTATGGATGTTTGCTGAGCATTTGAAGGTAGCAGTTGGCATTGCCAACCATCTTCTTTATAAACAATATTCCTCAAGATTGGGGAAAAAATGCATATACCCCGTGTTATGTGCATCTACTCTGAATGGACTACATAGGACACAGAGGCAGCTCTCCTGTCTGAAACTTCAGGAACTATCCTGAAATAAGACTTACCATTGACCCAGGTGCTTAAAAGAACCAGAAGGAATGGAGAAACCTCCCAGGAAGAAGCCCAAGACATTTAAGTGTCATACTGACAAGCAAGCAATCAATAAGGATTGATTTTTATTTCAGCAATGAAGGCCCCCAGTCAATGAAAAATACCAGCCATGAGCTGGAAAGTTCTGGGCTAGCAAAAGTCTATTCGTGCAACATGACTAATGCCACAACGAAAGACTAAAGAATGCTTGGACGTGGATGTGGCAGTGCCAAGTTTCGAGAATAATTCAAGTTGAATTATTACTCCATGTTACCCGCCAGTCTAGAAAAGACTAATGACTGAACTGGAGTATTGAGAAACTGCTTCTGTCATGCCTAACTACAGGTTACAGTTTTTGGTTGATACCCCTAAAACTCCCCATTATTACTATTAAACCCCCTGTGTTTGCCAACAAGTACAACTGCAATAACAAATGAAGTCAGCTCCCTGGGGTTACTCTGTTCTCTCTTCATCAGACCGCAGTGTTTCACACTGATGTGATTTTTCAGCTTTGCAGTAACACATCAGAGAGTTTGTTACGCTCTCAGCACGACTGTGCACTGGCAGAGAGTTCCTCCTAAAGCTAACCATTTTCAGCAGTTTCAAGCCACCATGGCATGGCACGTGGCTTTCGGAGGTAGGGAGGGATCCAGTTTTAGGAGCAAGAATTTACCTTTAATTAAATGATGCCGGAAGAAATAAAACAAAAAGACATTTGGGCAATAACTGCGTTAAGTGGTCTTTCAATTTTAGAAGAACCCAAAGCAAGGGCCTGCATTTCCTCACTTACTTCTTAAATAAAAAAAAATTACAGTTGCAGTCATGGTTGACAGAAGACCTGAACACACACCCCTCTTCTGATGGACTTCATAAGACTTCAGCATGTATGAAGTCGAGTCTGATTGAAACAATTCTTACACATGCGTCTAGTTTTGAATCGTCAGCCCTAGAAGTATAGAGGTCATAAAATATTACACAATGCCAACCTCAACTTCGTAGTAAGGAATGAAGATATGGATTCCAAGATAATAATTTATACAGCATGATTTCTACTAAGAATAGAAGATAAAATATCAGTCTCAAGTGTTATATTTTTTTTATAGAAAAGAAAAAAATGCCAGTGATATAAAATATTCGTCAGTGCTATTCTCTAAGCCCTGTTAGTGACTGAACCTTAGGCAATCTGTTTAAATACTGAAGTCTCTCTTGGAAATCTGCATGAAAGGCCTTCAAACTGTTCTTTGTCCATGTCATTATTCACGTTACTTCCCGAGACTGAGGGTGGTAGTTTCCTGACATTCGTTTGCTGACTGACATCAATTACTGCTGTGTTGGTGTTTGTTCCAACTTCAACTTGCGGCCCTGAAACACGATACTCAACCACTAAAATGCAGAGGTAGTCTTATCTACTGATGCTATACAAAAACCTTCGGTAATGAATTTGCTCTGAATAGCTTTTAATTGACACCAAATCCCTATATGCAGTAGGTCTCAACCTAAAGACTTACAAATAAATTTAAGTACATTTCAGGAAGCAATCAGCACGTGTCAAAAAAAAAAAAAAAAAAAAATTCCTCCACTACGAAATAGATCCAGAATAGAATTTTTATTATATTAAATGCCAGCATTAGGAAGAGTTCACCATACCCAAAAAATCCCCTTTCAAGCAAGTATCTTGCTTGAACTGAAGATGCTTTTCATTTTGCTTCAATAAAGAATAAGGAAAAGTAACAGGGCAGGGTTTATCATAACTGCCATGAAGCTAGAGCACAACTAAAATCATATAAATCTGTTTGTCACACTATATTTATACTGCGATTAAAACACCAGATTAACTATAACAATAGAACTGAAGGTACACAAATATATTAAGATGAAATAAGTGCATCAAGGATTGGTTAGTTAAAATAGTCAGATATAATCATCTAGAATGGTGGAAATTCAGCACGTGATCCTTTTGAGGGAAACTAAAACCATTCCAGATCGTCCGTCTGCAATAGCATGACAATGCACAACTCCACTGGTACCAGCTACACAGGACAAAGCAACACCATTTTGCAGAATAGCTAAATCACAAATCAGACCGTTGGATACCTGGAAAGACAGTTTCCTCTCTGTGCTTTCCCACTGCAGTTGGAAAATATTATTTTGCTGGTTCTAAATCTCATATCACAAGCAAGAAGGAATCCAAATTATTCATCTTTTTTTATCAGGATGCTTCTATGTTATTCTTTTTTTTTTTTTTTAAAGCATCTCTCCAAAATATAAACAAATTCAAACACCTTTTACCTTCCCTCAACTCTTATCAATAGAGCAAATCCAACTCCTGTTCATTTTATGTAGAATATTTGGAATCGGCAGAACCCAGGATTCCATGAAAGAAAGGAAGTTTCCAGCTCTTGCAGTTGAGAAGAAAACATTTCAAACACAAATTAACCTTACCTGATGCAGCACTGTCTGCCTGAATCTGCACACAGCAAGAGAATGACAGAAACAACAATTCCTTTGCCCACAATTATTTTCCTTACCATTTGGATTCAAAAGTCTAATGACTCCAAATGAAAACCTCAACTGTTTCTTGCTTAGTTTAGTAATAGAAGGGGAACGGAGAAGAAATAGAGCCCATGAGTAAGAAAGTAGAAGCTAGAAGTTCCTGCACGGGAGGAAATTCACAATGAAGAAAATTACAAAAGAGAAAATGAGGGAATAAAGGGAAGAAACAGAAAGGTCAATGAGGAAGGAACAAGGGGGGGGGCATTTAAAATGAGCTTATCTTCCACTTGAGTGATAGTGAATGTGGCAATGAAGTATTGAACAAATCGTAAAGAAAATTAAAAGTTTAGTTAACACACCAGCTACAATTATACTCCGATCTCTCTGCAAGCCTACTACTGAATTCAGTGGGAAATCAAGTGGAATAGGAAAATAAAGGAGTAAAACATTCTGAATTTATATTCTCAGTGCAGCCAGCTCAAAACATTTAGAAACAACCAGTCAGGCTCCCAAATCTCAGGAGCTTTTTAAAAATATGTATATTTAGAGCTATTTCTATTTAATATTTTTAGTTATGCACTGGTCACATTTTCATGGTTTTATCTGCAACCATAAAGGCTAAGATTTACTTATTGTATAAGTGTTAAATATAAAGGTGGAAATCTCCCATAATGAGAATATGAGAAAAATTGGGGCTTTGCGGAAAACCCCCCCAAATATCTGCAGACTACAAAATAAAAACTGCACGGGCTAGCAAACACAATACTCCAGTTCATGAACCATCATGGAAATCAGTCCTCTGCACCAAATATCTTTGACACCTCTGCCCACAATAAAACCCTATTCATCAGCCAAAATTTTCCCCCAGTTTATCACATTGCTTGCAAGTTTGTACATCAATGCAGTTACACAGATACAAAAGAGGGCAGTATCTGACCCTACATCTTGCGGTTGTATCAAAGCAGCCTTTTCAGCCAGCCTGCTATTGATGTATCGGTAAAGATACGACATTGTATGGATTTTTCAATTAGCAGCTGTTTAAAAGTTACCATACATGGGGAAAGCTCTGCTGATTGCACTGTTCTCATTCATCTTGAGGGCACTTGGATTTCCTTTGGGCTTTGCACCAATTCAGTGTTGGGGACTCTGGTGACAACAGAGAGGCTGATGAGACTAAAACCCCCATGGCCAGTAGTCTGGTATTTATACCTTGTGAATCTCGTTCTTTAAAAAAATTAGTAGTCAGTTTTCACAAACAGCAAGGATGATAGTACAGTGAATAATTGCTTAACACTTCATTTCCTCCTGTTATAATAGTTTTTTGTGGTTTTTTTTATCTGTACCTAAATATTTTAAGCAACTTATTAATTTATAAAGCTGAGTTGTGGGTGTTTTGTGTTTTTGGCATTAGAACACAAGACTGCCTAGAGTGTTGATTGTCTATGTCCTTAAACAGTTTCTAGGTGTCCTCATAATTGCTTGTCACCTGTAAAGCAGGTTTAAATCTAATGCAAAATTAACATATGGCGAACAGATGGACTCAGAACAGACATTTGTCAAGAAAGAACTCGCAACAAAGACTTTTTCACTCGTCTTAGAGGACCTTCAGAGAAGTCCTAGTTGAGGCTCCTAGTCACCCGAATCAGTGAAGAATCCTGCTTTAATGTCAAATCACAGGGCTCGCTGGAAAGAAAACTTTTGTAACTCTGATTTTTCCTTGTCAAGGTCCTAAGTAACCTTTAATGACTATAGCAGGCAGCAACAAATTGTCTTTACAGTGTCCACAGTCCTTATTCCTACTGGAGTTATCCCTCTAGAGAACAAAAGCTATTTCTTATTAAAAAGCTGGGTGTTTTTTTTAAAACTGGAAACAATACATGGTGCAAATTCTCAAAAATATTCCAGTACTTACTGAGGAGGTAAGACAAGGGTTGTAGGCTGGGCTTTTGGTCTGCGTTTTGCAGATACTCCCATCTGGTTGGCTGAGCGTTTCAAAGACTGTTGATTCAATAGGCCAGACGCTAGCCCTGCATGATACTGTAACTACATAAAATGAAAAGAAAAAAAAAAAAAAAAATCAGTAAAAAAAAAGTGTACATTTAAAATCCCACCCCCTTACAATATTCTACCCATCTCAGACCTTCAGCATCAACGTCCTTGGTAATACAACAGCTCCTTGCTAGTTAGCCAGCACTGGACTGTCCAAGGATCTCTTACCAGCAGAATTAAAACATGCACAAACAATCCTGGTTTTGTAGTCTGCTGATGAATACCATCAGTGAAAACGTGCATTTGTTAAATTAAGGAATTTTTTTTTTTTTTTAAGCCAAAAGCAAACTTTTTATTTAATGCAAAAGGCAAACGTTATTTGCAAGTGGGTCAATGATCATAAAAAGAAATTTGGGGGTCCTTATAAAAAAGGTTCAGGGAACACAGCCCTTTGCACTGGGAGAACCTAGTTCTCTTAAATTGTTTTCACTTGCTCCTCGCAGTTTTACAAATGAAAATGTTATATACAGTAGTTCTCTTCCCCACCCATTTTTAGTCGTCAATGAAAGACAATATGGGAAGGACATATGTGAATCTGCAAAATTTTACTGAGTGTGTCCTCATTGCCTGGAGATTTAAAAAAAAAATACATTCACACTGATGTCTTCATGCTGAAATGAATTGTAGGTATGACAAGTTACAAATTAACTTCAACACCACTTAAATCATCCTGTTCAGATTTTCCACCATTCTGAAGTTAAAAGCTTCAGATATTTATTTCATGTCAGCAAAAAATACAATTTCTTCCACATCACAAGTCCTGTATCAGTTTTCTCGTTGAAGCATCCATAGATTTGTTTTGAAAAAGGTCAGCTACTTTACAAGTTAAGGAAACTAATCCAGTGACCAGTACAGAAGAAAGGTCACGGTCAGAAAGCTGTGATTAATAATGCTCAGAAAATAAACCCTTCTTAGGCAAAACCGCCACCCAAAGGACTGACTAAAACTAGGGGAGCAAAGACAGTCAAAGTAATCTCCTTGAAAGCGGCTATAAAAGTGAATGAAGCTCTCCAGGGCAACCAATATGACTAGAATATCTATGTTTAGAGCATCCATAATGCTTTTTAACAGGGTCTTGATTTACTTGGTCGATTTGGTACGTGATCTATAGGGTGGTGCAACACCGACAGAGATGCATAGCATTCTTAATAAAAGCAGAATTGCTCTCAGCTTAGGAAAGGGAGGGGGCATCACCTTGCTCTAACAACTCATCTTAGACCAATGAATTTTGTTCAAATTTGTTTTTTCTCCTATAGATTTCTTAAATGGGAAATCAATGAAAGCAAGGGACAGTGCAAGTTTGAAAGACAATGTTTCAAAGTGTCGGGGGCTTAAGGTTTCAATCGTCACTACTAGAATTTGCAATGAGTGCAATATGTACAGCATTTTATGGAATTAAAGGGAAAGACAGCTTGGCAGAAGACCCCTCTGGCTCTATCATTCCTTTCCCTTTCCTTTGCTGCATCTTATTAAGATCGCTGCAAGCTCAGCCATTTTGTTGCTGCTGACGCCATTCTGCAAGACTTAGGCTCTACGAGCAGAGTGGCGTGGGCAGGTCTTTTACCTACATGGTATCACTTTGACCACGTGCTCAAAGATGGAGCAGAAATTGTTGGTTATTACAGATGAATTCTAAATATCACCACTTGAAAAATATAGTGGCCATGGTGAAAAGTCCAAGTTTAGCTCTCACTGAAGGGCTATGTACCAGGAAAGAGTATAGGGATTTTTTTTTTTTTAATTTACTATTCCCCACAAACAGACTCTGTCCTTGAGGGCCGAGTCCAAGTGATTAAGTGACTTTTGTTAATTATATGTATTATATATACCCAACTCTGCTTCCAGGAACACAGACCCAACTGTCAAAATCTATAAGGGCCCATTAAATATTTACCAAACCATCTTTATAATGGGAGAAAAGGTCAAAGTTAATAAAACTGACAGGCAGCTCCTGTCCAACCTGATTTATACATTATTTAAGCATCACATACTGTATTCCACAGAATGCATTTTTGAACTGAAAAAGACTTGGAAAAATGTTTCCTTAGTCGCTGGTTCTAAAGAATAGAACCAAGTGTAAAGGCAATTCAGAAATCACTGAAAAACAGAGGTGTTACCAGAAAATGTTATTTACAAAACATAAGTGCGAGGTCCAGTACATAATATACAATGCATTACATTTTTTATTCTCCTATTACTGTTCCACAACAGAAAACCTTAGACTTTTGCAGAATCCTCCTTTTTTGAACTATTTAACACTGCCAAAGTAGAATTTGCACTTTTCATTGCAAGGCAAACGTGAATAAAGAAACCGGGGAGGAAAAAATCCACCATTTCATCACATGTTTTCTGTTCGGAGTTACTCAATTTGTAGTTATTCTTCCTATTGTTCTGCCTTCATAGATTTTTTTTTTGGAGGAATCCTTATTCATTTAATCAATAACTCTTTTTCAGGAGGTATAGAGATGGGATATGCAATCACAATATAGCAGTCTCACATTTTTAAAACGGCGACGCAATTAAACTGTCAGAAGTTTCTTGCATTCTAATACTTTTCAGTGGTCTTCATACTCAAGCAGCTGTTGTCAATTGTTTCCATCTAGCCAGCAAAATGCTAAGTGGCAACAGCTCTCAGATTAAAATATGACAAATATCTATTGTACCAGAATGCTACCGAACTGGGCAGTAATATAAATCATGACTTTATTAGCCATTTATGATACCCCATTATTCAGCAGTATTATTACAGCAAGACTTCCATGTTACTTTCAGCTTTCAAGAATCCCAGCTGGTTTGGGAGTAGCTTAGGTCTTTACCTCCCACATTCCCCTGTTAAGTTTTGATGATTGATCTTCCCACAACTCATGCAGAAGCAGCATAAACTCTAAATTCAACAAAATGAAGGGGGGGGGGGGTTGGGGGGGGGGGGACGTTCTCCTTTTAACACTTAGCAGCTGGGGTACACAGTGATGTCAAATCTTACCACTTCACCACAATTTATGATATATGATGGGTTCTTTCTGCTTCTAGGAAGCATGGGAAATATCACATTTTTAATTTTAAAATGTTTTGGCTCTCGGGTATTGGCAGGAAAAGCTTGAAAACATCATGTGAACATACCAAGAAGGTTCACCTAAAGGGTAAATACAAAACAGATTTTTTTTTTTTTAATCATAGCTTTTAAATTTATGATTCCCAACTTTTGACTCCTTGAGATTGTTAACACTACCTGCATTTTCAGGTATAAAGGATGTTCTCTGGTGTTGTAATGGGGCTAAAACAACAAAAATAACACTTTCTCCATTTTTCTGCTTATGAAAGGATGTAGGGTTCTCGGACTTTAATGACTTGGTTTCTTCCAGTCTTTTTCTCTCACAGTATCCTGTTTCCCCAAGCTAGAAACAAGAAAAATAGCACCATATAACCTGGCAGGCTTCCAGAGACTATGAGTAACCTGTGGGACACAGCTTGCAACATCTGTATTAAGACTTAGATACTGGAATAGATCATATGGCAATAGCTAACTCTTAATATAGATGTTGCAAGCTGTGTCATTTTTGACGGGCAATTGGTGTGTGTGTGTGTGGGGCTTAGTCTGTCTGTCCCTAACGCTCCGGGGGGGCGGCTCCAGCCAGCGCTGTGTCACGAATCCCCACCAAGAATGAGTGCGGGGGGGGAGGGGGAGGATGGCACAGGGTCAGCCGTGGAGCGCGGCAGTGGACAAACACGAGTGGGAAGGGGGTGGTACGTGGCCAAACACAGAGCAGCAGCAGTGTGGGGCAGTGGGTGGCAGCGGAGGCTGCCGCATGCAAGGTTCCTCCCGCACAGTGCCTAGGAGGCAGCTGTAGCATGGGGTGGTGGGTGGCAGCACTCCATTCCTTCCCAACCCCTCCCCCACCACACACCCCATCGTTCTGGATGTGCAATTTGCTAGTGAAATAATAATAGTATTAGATCTGCACCTTTCAGCAAGTAATAGACTGGAAATAAAATTCCTGTTGACTATACACACACACACACACACACACACACACTCGCAATAAAGTTGTCAGCAGGACCATAGTATGTCAAATGGCCTTTTGCTTATGTAATTCATACTCCAGAGATTCTGTCAATGTAGATCTCTGACCAAATGAGCAATTACATGGCACACAATGAAGAGACCATTCAGCTTGGAGAAACAGAAAAAATATCACCTGGAGCATTCACAGGGGACCACGACAGTTAAGTGTGTATGTTAAATGCACATGTTAAGCGTTCTGGAAATGTGTGGATTTGGTTTCGTTTTGCTTTGTTTTAAATAGCAATGCTTTGCTTTAAGAAGTATCAAATCACAAAGGTACATTTTGGGTTTGCTTATATACCCCAATGATATTTTTTCCAAATGCTTTTAATATAGTTATAGGTACAGGAAAATGCATGAATATAATAAGATTCGACAGGTAGGAGAAAGTAACAGTAACAGTATTTCCTATCGCCTAAAGAATAAAGATTTCATTACAGTGGGAACATATCTTTATCCACTCCTAGACTTTCCAAATACACTCCAACCAGCAAATGCCTGTCTATTTCCCCCCCTTTTAGATGCACAGTATTTTGCCCCCATCATTAATTTTTCCCCCCTTTCAGCTAATGAGGGAGTTTTCTAGTATGATAAAGCTGTAGTCAGTCTTTTGAACAGAGCTATGAGCAAGCAAGGAAGACACTCCCTTGGTTTCATCTTTGCAAACGAAAGAAGGCAAAAGAGAAATTACATTACTTTAAATGATATTTTTTAAAGCAGATATCAGATAATGAGGCCAGTTTGGAAATTCTCTTTTTTCTAAACAATGTTTGATCATTTTAGGATTATTTTAGGTATCCAACTTGGTTGGAACCGCATCACTGAATCAAAAGTGCAGGGTCTCCAATTTAGTTACTTATACGTTTTCTCCTGTGAACCAGGGTTCAGCCAGGCACCCTGTCTTTGCTCTCCATATCTGACTCAATTAGAA